CAACAGCTGCTGGTTTCCACAGCCCACTTAGTGGGGGCCGTAAGGGAAAGTCAGGGATTGGAAGAGACAGAGCTAGGCAAAGCAGGCGTGTGATGGGAATACATGTAGCAGACACCCACTCTTTTATTGATCTCCGCTGACCTTGGGTGCATTGACATGATTAGCTTCAAGGACAGAACACTATCCAAGGTATATCTTTTTCCACTTTCACACTACATTTCCTGGAAGTTAGACACATTCTATGGCTTAACTGATTTAAACCTTATCAATGGGGTCCTAATGGGAAAACTTTACATTGTTTACTGTTGGGGCAAGATAGCAAGGGCACTTTTAGTGAGCATTGTTAAAGTGGTAACTCTAGAGGCAGAAAGCACAGGGCACATCCTAATCCATTTATGAAGGACAATCACAGCGGGAAAATGCATCAATCAATAAGCAGAGTAACTTAAAGAGCTTTCATGAGTCAACAGTGTGTAATCTTGATGGATCTATACATACATACTGCCAGTCGATACACACAGACTTTGAGAGTGGCCAGGAACTCCACGGGGACTAAATGCCACATTTCCTCTTTATAGAAAAACCACATGCACCTAAACAAAACATAAATGTCCGGTAAAACTAGAAGTGAACAAATGAATTACTTTGAAGCAAATCTGATATTCTACCACTCGCATCAGGTGATACTGATATGATCTTAATGTCTTCAGTCTTCCTGCAGATGTGGGTAACACATTAGACATGATAATCTTGTTTATTTAAGTGACTTTCAAACTAAGAACAGGATGCAACTGTATTGTGCTGCTAATTTATAATAAATAATGCAGAATGTGTTTAATTTTATTTACTGTTTATCTGTGTAGGGACAAGTATGTAGCATAAACAAATGCCACACACCACAGCATTTATAGCATAAGCTAATTTTCAATGCCCGTCCCTAGTTGGGCCTTTAAAATACATAAAAACTCAACAAATAGACGTGACAGTGCACAACAAGCTCAACAATAAGTATGTCCATTAAAAAACACAGAACTTAGCAAGAAAACATACAGTATACAAAGTAATTAAAGCACCATAAAACAGGAGATTTTTGGCAGGAGAAGGCCTGGGTAGAAGTGAGGGGGGACATGCAATCTGCAGTTAATCAAACACATATCCCTCTTCAAGCTTTAATATCTTTTTAATGACACAATCCTCATTTAAACCACTGAAAAAATATGCATGAGAAGAAATTATATTACCTCTTCAGTCTGGCTTTTTGTGGAAACATGAGAATGTGGCGGGGACATTTTTTGGAACCAGCTCGAGGCCATTACACGAACTGTATTTTAATACACCTGTGCTCCCATTGTCCTGAACTATACTTTAAATCACCTTTTCGTAAACAGAACCATAGCAATACTACTTGGTGGTCAACACTGATGGTCCTTGACCACGTGAACAGCTCTATTTGAGATGTTGAGAATCAATCACTGACCTCAACGCAGTGGGAATAAACCAGGAGAGAAATCTGTGTGGGAGCCCAGAAAACCAGGATTATGTTAGGGTAATGTTCATGTTTGTGCCACAGCCACAGTAGGCAGGCTGTCATCTGCTTGGGGAAATAAAAGATATTGTCTTTTAAATAAAAAGTTCAGCATGAATGATGAAAGCTATATTAGACTAATTATTTGACATAATCTGTTCCTCCTATAACTTTGTATTTTCATAAAAACACCATGTGTTTTAATACTTACTTGCTAAATGAGAAAATTGTACCCAAAAAGAGCTGAGGTTACAGCTAAGTGTTTATTCTGCATTTGCTCTAACAATCGCAATCAAGGGATTAGCTCGAAACGAGGGGAGCTGATGGGCCTTGACTTGAGCATTCATTTAGTGTTTAGGTTTTTTTTTACTGCATCTGCATTTGTACACACAAAGCTGTTGGAGATGAAGCGAAGGAAGGAGAGCGTAGCAGCAGGACAGAATGAAAATCAGTTGTATAATCTTTTAGCTCTGCTGATTGGGAATTCTGCTGTTGAAGTGTAAGTGTGCAATTTCCCATTAATAATTTTACATATATATGAAGATCTGAATCAAAACTAAAAATATATATATAATCCTTGTAAAATCATAATGGAATACCAAAAGCAATTGTATCAGGTTCTCAATTGAACAATCTCACTGGTTCAATCTTATTCAGTCATGCAAAGTATGCTAATTTGCTTTGGAGTAGAACGCTGATGTTCCCAGCAATTGATTTGCATTCCCTTCAGTAGCCAAATCAAGCCAACAACAGTTTATAGTACATGTCTATACAGAATGGTGGAAGATTGAAGATGCTTGTGTCACCAGAAGCAGCCTGATACTTCTAGCAAATGAATCCTTTGTTGGTAGATTCTTTCTTCCAATGCAATCTCTACTAAAGAATGTCAATAAATGCTGTTGAATTGAATTGATTTGAAATGTCTTTAATGTCCCCAAGGGGCAATTTGGTTCACAACAGGTAGCCAACACACTATTGCACTATAGCACACATGTTGACTCTGGTAACTGTAATATATCTCTGACTTTAGCACTGCTGCTATCATATATCATATGTGGACACTCCCACTCCCCCACTCTCTCACTACCCCACCCCCAAACACTGTAATGAAGTTCCCCAGAGGAAATCAAGAAGCAATGTGGAAGCCACATTCTCGCATCCTCCTGAGCACATTCAAGTTAATGCCATCACTATCAGTAAATCAGCATTTAGAAGATAATTATGTCAAAAACAACCCACTCAAATCATCTCCCCCCTAAAGATCCTCCTTGGAACTAGATGGCGCAGAGCAATGTGTGGTGGCTGGTCTGGACTGGAGTTGGCAAGTTCAGTAATGCTCAAGCCATTTCAAAGTCCATCGAGAGACGAATGTGGGATTTTGGGATTTTGCTATGGCAATAATTTGACCTTGGAATCCTGAGGGACGTCACAGTGCAGTGACATTGGATCACAGACCCTGACACCCTTAGGGCTGGTTAACACTTTAAAACAATACTGGTACCGATACAGATATCTTGACTTTGATATCGGTTCCTGAAAGATACTCTTTTCTATGGCAGCCCCCTAATAGTAGACCTAATCTTAAAGTTTAAGACTTAAAGTCAGTCGATGAGAAAAGTCTCAGGTGACACACTTTTCATTAGTCGGATAGTTGCAGAAAAACAAAAACAATGTCAATATCCATTTGGGACCTGTGCCTCATCACCGGACGAAAGTATTAGAGGATTGTTGCAACACAGACTGTTTTTCTTGTTACATAAGGGAATCACTTACCGGTGACATCACTGCATATGCTAGCTGCTGCACACCTAGCTAGTCGGCATGTCCTATTAGTTGTCCTGTACCCCAGACTTGAAAACAAAAATGTGCATTCAAAATCTAAACTTAAACCCTTAAAAACCCCATATAAAGCATTATTAATGCTATTACGCCTATATATATACATACATACATACATACATACATACATACATACATACATACACACACACACATACACACATACATACATATACACACACATTGGAGATGCTTAACATTTTCAGTACCAAAAATAAAGAAAAACCCCACTGACATCTACCACTGAAACTTTTTATTATAGCAACAAAAGCAAAGCATTGTGTCAGGGGGAGGAGGGGGAAAAAGAATGGAAAATATGTTTTGTTAATATGAAATAGAACAGCAATGACAGCCACGTTGGCATTAACTGAGAGAAACACAACATAGCAGTCTCAAGCCATTAAACTAGAGGTGGTAATAACTACCAAAACAGAACAAAAACAATACATGGCCAGAAATAGCTGCGGAGCTTTGTAGGTGACGTTAAGCTACAATTTTGAAATACCTTGGTCGTGAAGTCAGAAAGGATGAAATCATTTCCCAGCACGACAAGATTAGGTGTACACTAAAAAGAAGCATTCCAAATCAATTGAATCATCTGAACTTGCCTTGAATTAAACTCCAACATTTAAAGTAGACAGCTAAATAAAAATAGAATCATAAATAATAAATGCTTTCATTGTACAGTATTACACTCAAAAGGACATATCTTATCATTACTGGGACAAACAGACATGTTTTTGAGTTCTTCTTCCCCTTGGCCATGGATACTATAACAACACTTTGCATTTTAGAGTTCTCAGTATGAGCTGGGAAGGAGAGACTTTACTCAAATACAAATGTGTTTGGGATAGTCCTTTACTAAGTCACACACAGACACACATCTACAACAGCCAAGTTAACAGGGTGAGGCTGAGCAGTTTGACAAATGTGACTGCTTTGTAGTTCTTCTTCTGTGCCAAAGCACGGGAATAGTGGTCGCAGAAAGGAAGATTTATAGAGGGGGAGGCAGAAAAGCAAAGAAATAACAAACATGAGCCGAGACAGCAGGGGCAGAAACTGAAACAATATGGCCACCTGGTCTCCCTGTGCAAGGATGACTAACCCTGTGCATAATAGACTATGTCTACTTCAAACATTATGCAAGTCCAAATGGTCACACATCAGAATCAGCCTTTCTGTGAAGAGACAGATTGAAGACGTCGATTTATCAGTCATGAATTCCTTTTTCTGTGCCTAAGCGCACATGGTTGTGTACTTTAAATCTGTGATGTTATGTTACCCTGTGGTGCTGCAGTTTATTTGTACAACCCAATATTACTCATGTCTCAATGGCCTTTACAGGCTCCCAACCCAGCCCAAGCTCTTAAAGAAGAAGAAATGGAAAAACCCCCATAGCACATAAAGTGGTATAAAACACTATTGTCATTTTTTTTAAATTTACAATAGCTTAGAGAGAAAAAATAGGAGGGCTTAGTTTATCGCAACACATCTCCCTGCAAATTAAAAACCGACAGAAATACTGTGTACAAACAGAGTGCGTAACGGGATGAGATGAAGCGGCAATTTCAATGTGATTAATTGTGCAGCCCTACTGCAGATAATAACAGGAAACAGACATTTTGACTTTGCTTACCTGCCGGGCTGCGCGGCTCCCTGTTGTCTTGAGTATTACAGGTCTGAAAGCACTAGAACTTGCTGATTCAGACAAAGCCACAGGGCATCCTAGGGGTACAGCCAATTTTCCTGCACACAAGAGAGGCAAGAGGGCAGATGTCAGCTTAATGTCACCATCAAGTGCTCCTGCTGAGCTCGTACTCCTGAGAAGCTGCAGAGACAAGCTAATTAAAATAAACAGATTTTTGTTTAGAAACGACAAACTGACATTAACTTCATATTTCACATCTTGAAAGTATATAATAACAGGTCAAGCGGTAAGACATGAAAGATGAGAATGAGCTCGACAGAAAACACAGCATCCACTTGATGTGTAATAATCTCCACCCAGCCAAAAAGCAACTGTGCATTAATAATGCCAACTGACTAACAAACCATTTCAAACTCTCCACTCCCGTGCCCCCAATTCCTCCCTGCAGCCATGGCATTCTGGTTTTGCACTCTTTACACTGTCATATGCTCAGGAAAGAAAGCACGCTATATAAGGAATTGTTAGTGTTGAGCACAGCTAGTGGCTCTGCACTTCTAGAGCCAAGGGTTTAGAGGCGGGGAGTCTGTTTACACTGAAAGCCTTTTTATTTTCTGTTTTAAGAGGGTCCACTTGCTAAACATGACTGAGGCTTTAATGTATAATCCAACACTAATATTGGCTGCCAGTCGGGAGAGGAAAGGGGGAGGTGAACTTGATGTTTGTGTGAACACGTGCAGGTGTGGTTGTTTTGCACATGGAAATATTTGGGTGAGCACACATTCATTTTGTGAATGTCTTTTCTTTGCAATTTGGCTACAAAACTCAAACCAACGTATTGTAATGTGTATGTTTAATATCTCAATCACATTTGGGTGTGATAATGTATTGAAACAAGAGGCTTGGCACTAGTGCCTTGCTAAAAGAGGACATTTAAGGGTACAGGTCGAATTACATCGTGCTGATTCAGGATAAAGAAATCACTGCCACATTAGGGATAAGTTGTTGTTGAAGATGACGCTGCGTTTTTCACTCTTGGTTAAGGTTAGCTTACAGTTTTGCTAGTGTTAGTCACAGGGATACAGGAATATGACAGTATGCAAGCAGTTGTGAGAGAAGTTTGGAGCTATTTTTTCTAACTGAAATGACATTTTGTTATTAGGGTAGCCAACCCTAGTAAAGGGCAAACACAGAGAGACACAAATATAGTAGGAGAGAGAACAGGAGTTTAAGAAACCATACATCCTAATGAGAGCAAGGCCTGCAGTCTAATAAGCCTACTAAACATGAGTCAGGCCAATTCTCTCTTGGGATTGCTTTTGTTCCTTGTATTAGCCATGGCCGCTTCCTTCCTCTGGCTCTAATTGGCAGTGCACTGCAGTATTTCTACGTAGGCAGATAACTAAACAACTCCATATGTCCCTTTATGGCAGTTAGGCAATGGTAATCAGCGCTGATACGGAGCGGAGAACACCAGGCTGTTGCTACTGTGATGCAAACTGTTTTATTGCATCACAACAGGACTACTGCCGTTTGCGCCCCCTCGTTGAGCTGTGCCTGTGTCATAATGTCTCCACAGGCAATCTTGATTTACAGGCTGCTATTAGGATCCCATGATGAACAACTTTCAGGCATAAAGTTTGGGAAATGATCACTCTGAGACCAAAACCGAGAGTCGAAGTCGACCTGCCAGGATACTTTGAGAGAGCAAGATTTTTTTAAAAGTTAAGATCTGAGCCTTGGACTAAATGCATATGCACTGGGCCTTTCATCTTCAACTCATGGTAAGAGTTCCCTATGGAAAGGAAACACGCCAAGCTCAACAGAACCTGAATCCAAGACTTTGCATGACACTAGGCCTCAAACCACATATGACATTACATTGTTGTACTTGGCTGGAAACATGTAAAGCAAAAAAAAAGGTTCAAAGACACTGACTTATTACAATTCTGTTCATGCAGGACAAACCGTGGTAAAGAAACTCGGACTTAAAGAAAAACGGTGTAACGCTATAAGAGAGAACTGTCAGGAGGATGCTACTGAGCACTGTTAAATTGGTTAAAAAAGGCGACTGCCTAATATAAAGAAGCGATCCACTTTTGTTTCATCTTTGTGGCCAAAACAACACAAAAATGTTACACAACCAGAAAGGAACAGTGCGCTTCTTCATATTGATAAAAACGTATTTTCTTTTCATTTCTCCTCATCTTAGTGCATATATCAGCTGTGTGTGCACACTAAGTGGGCTGGGAGGCCACAGGAGGGCCGGCCGACTGTTTTCAACGGTCCACAGAGCATGTCTTCAGGCCAAGACCCCGTTCCCTAGACGACAATAACCAAGAGTTCGCCATGACCTTTAGAAGCGCCTGGAAAGTTGGGCGTTCCATATAAAAAGAAAAAAAGGTTTTAGAGATGCCGAGGCTGCAAAGAAAGATCTGGCAAGTTTTCCTCGAGATGTGATGCCTTTGTGTTCACAGTTCAGTGTTTCTCCACACACACTTTCCTGGATGGGCGCTCAGGTATTTTAATGGCCGCCCAAGTATATTTGGCGACGTATTTTAGCATTTTTTACATTCTGAATATTTTAGGTGAATGTATAGTGAAAGGAGACAGGACCTTGTTTTGTATGCCTGATACCCTGATATAATACCGCCGCCGCTACAAAAAACAAACAAACAAAAAACGACTACATACTGTGATATAAATTTTAGGTCGACTCAACCCGCCTCCCTTTGCTGCTTTCATCCTCTCTCCCCTGTTTCCTGTCTTAAAGCTGTCACTATCCAATTAAAGGCATGACAAGCCCAAAAACAAATATATATATATACACATATATATTAAAAAAAGAGGATTATGTCATGACTAACGTCTTGAGGCAAATGCAGTCTGGGTAGGCTGTAACAAGTGTCTGAGTGGTTATAATATTTGTGAAATAACGAGCATGCAAGTCAAACTAGACCAATGAGGTTGGGGATGGAGAGCTGCCCTGTAGTACACGAGCCATGATGTCATTATTGTGCACCTTGGAGCCAGGACAGAAAAGGCATCAGTACTGATCCAAGAGCCGAGGACTTCTATCACATTTAGATGCCATCAGACTCTATATTTAAACGGGATTCTGCAGGAGGACAGGAAAGGACTCTGACATCTCCTGGATTCAAGTTAAAGACCCTCTTTTATCATTCCAAGGCATGGTCCTTCTCCCAGTATTACTATTTATTTCCTCCATCCATGTTTCTTTTCTCAACTCCCCGACTCTCTCTTCCCCTCTGTCTCCATACGGTGGGCCCACTGTTCTCTCCCAGGGCAGGCAGCTGGCTCTACATCAGACACATCTGAGGACAAAAGGGAAACTCCAGATTGTCGCGGTGAGGGCAGCCACCCGTGGCAGCGCTCAGTGGGATTCCGGTTGTTTATGGTTGGCACTAATTACAGATCGTCAGACTCACCAAGCTCTAGACTTGATGCAAAGAAAACACCAAACTGGTTTAGACAGAAAAACAGAGACTGGCCATTAAAACTGTCTCCACTTGCAGCAAGCCAGATAAAACACGGAGTGATGTAAACTCAATAGGGAGGCTTAGAGATATCAGTCAGGATCAACCTCGCACTCCCTGGGGAAGCCTATTAACTTGTGCTGGGGCACAATGTTGCAGTTTTATGGACGTAGTCAGCATATAGAGTATGCAAAGAATTCACACTACAGGCGGTTGCACAGATAATCGTAAAGATAATCTCCCTCTTCCAAGCTCCGTGTCTCTCAATCTACAATCACTACAGTGGCAGCAAAAGACTCATTTGTTTCAGCAAAGTGTTTCATTCAGCTTTATAACTGATGTTTTGCAGGGGACCCCAGTACAAGCTGTCCTGGGCCTGTGAAACACCCACTTTAAGCATTTTCAATCAGTAATGCTAATTAACTCTACACATGTTTTTCAGATTCAGGACTTTAGGATTAAATACATAATATTTACAAAAATAAACACTGGTATGGTGGTGTACAAGTAGCTCACAAAGTGCATTTGATTTTACTGTAAATCTAGTCGGAGACTTGTGTTACATGTTATTCACTACCTTCTAAGCTACTGGTTTTAAGCTACATGTTTACATCTATACAGCATGTTGAGAACTGTGGCTCTAAGATTTTCCCCACAAACGTTTGACTGACAAGTTAAAGAGGCCATATTATGCTTTTTGGGGTTCTCCCTTTGCTTTAGTGTGTTACATAGATCTTTGCTGCATGTAAAACATCTGAAAAGTGACAAAACCCAAAGTTAAAAGGGAGTTACTGTCTCCCACAGGAAACACTGGTCCTGCACCACCGGACACACCTAATCTGTATTCAGCCTTTTCTTTCGTTTGCCTATGACATCAGAGAAACACAGCACTACTTATAGGCTAGGTGACAGGTTAGTACCGCTCCCTGAAACTTAGTAAATCTACCTCACTGTCCACTGTCCTCACTAACATGATTCAGGGAACACGAAGATGTGGAAGGTTCGAGCACGTCAATTTCTGAAAAACAGAAAAACAATTTCTGAAAAACAGTTAGCACCAAGGACCAGTACAAAGCGAAGAGATAACGGGAGCTGCTCCGTTGTTGGCTGCACAGATCAGCATAAAATCCGGTGTCCTCCATCATCTGAGGAAATGGTACAGAAATGTCCTCACAGCAACAGAAAAACTGGAGTGTGTTTGTGCA